GTAATCCCAGGACTTTGGGAGGCCGAGGCAGGCAGATCACAAGGTCAGGAGATCAAGACCATCCTGGCCAACATGTGAAACCTGATCTCTACTAAAAATGCAAAAATTAGCTGGGCGTGGTGGCACATGACTGTAATCCCAGCTACTCAGGAGGCTGAGGCAGGAGAATCACTTTAACCAGGGAGTCAGAGGTTGCAGTGAGCCAAGATCATGCCATTGCACTCCAGCCTGGTGAAAGAACAAGATTCTTTCTCCAAAAAAAAAAAAAGGTTCCACAATGTTAAATCCTCCTTTATAATAAATAATAAATAACATTGTAATAATGTTACAGCCCAGCTTAGTTCAGTTGAAAAGAAATTCATCTTTGAATCTCTAGAAATAACACAGTTCTCTTCCAGGCTGATGTAAATAGCACTTTATTATTCCTTACATCCAACAACACTATGTACTTAATACTGTATCCAGCAAATAGTATATATTTGAACATTTTAATGGAAAGTCTACTTGGTAATGGTAATGTTATTTATATCTTATTGGGAAGAGAGATATGTTTCGTGCTACAGAAACCAAATTTATGAATTTCATGTAGATCTAGTGCCAGCTAGTGGTACCTATTATATATGCATCGAAAAGAAAATTGACTTTTTAAAAATAGCCAAAGACAACATGGTCTTACTGGGATTCAACAAATGCTTAAAAACAATGTTGAAAGGAATATCGTTTGCCATGTTGAGGAGACCCAACAGGCTGTGCGTGAGAATGGATGTCTGCAGTGCTCTGTTGCCGTATAACGCTCTGTGGCAACTTCCACATAGTCACTGTGCTCCCATATCCCGATTATTCATGTATCTGTCGTTCTTATTGTATCAGGAAGTTACTGAGGTATGGCTCAGGTCTTCATTTCTGCATCTCACCATTGGTCACAAGATCCGACAATTAGATGCAGAAAGAAATATTAATTGAAAAAATAAGAGGGTTCAAGAAAAATTATTGCCACATTTCACTTACCACAGTGCGTGACTTATGAAAGCATTTATTCAGGGGTTTTCAGCACTGGGTCATGACTTAATTATTCAGAAGTATACCAGACAACTTTGGGCCTCTAGGCTTTTTTAATCTTCAGAAATTTCCTAGTTGACTTAGATATCACAGATCTGTTGAACCATCGCTGTCCCATGAGTCTTCTTAGAAATTACAGGGCCTTAGACAAGTATCCCCCATCCAGCTTACTAATTTTAGCATTTGGTCGTTAGTAACAAATTTTGAACAGGCAGATTTTATTTTGGGGGGATGGGAGCCAGGTTATAAAACATACCTCACAGTTCAGTCTCTAATAACATTTACTTTTAAAATCATTGCTTTCTTATTAATTTGCTGATTAGTGGTGTTAATAATTGGCACAAGTGGGAATTTCAGATGTAGGCTAATGGTTCATTAATCAAATTTAAAAGGCTATCTTCTTTTAAATGTGAGGATGAAACTTTTAATTCCCTTTAGGACTGCCAGTTGGAGATGTTCCTCTGGGGAGGGGATCTTTTCACTTTATGCCTGCAGTGCTTGCCACAATTTCCAGGGCCATTTGTTAATTATCCTGCCTGGCATGAAGTAAAATTGATTTGGAACCCTAGCTCGTTATGGAAGGAGTTTTGCAGTTCAAATGAGCTCAGCCTTCTCAGATGTGTAAAGAAAATACAGTTTCTGTATTTTCTATAATCGACATGTTTTTCTCAGAAACCTATTTGAAGGATAGGTTTCAATGCATGTGCTCTGCATGCTGCCATAATTGAAATAGTTGGTTTAGATGACTCACTCATTTGTGGATAAATGATCACACTTTCAGTTTTCTTGGCCTTTCTCTGCTGCTATCCAAAATTGGTTTGGGATGGGAGTTTGGGGTCTCGAGGTTTTATTTTTACAATCTTGTGCAGTGGGGCATGAGGGCCAAGCATCCCCAAAACATCTTCCAGATCCTTGTCGATTTCTGCTGTAGACAGCTAGGCATGGGCTGCTCCCAGGACAGCTGCAACAGGTACCATCTCACCACCTGGAACTCACTGCTGAAGTCTGTGTTTCAGACATCTGCTTCCAGCATAAAATCCCTGCACACTTTGGGCTTTGTCCCAACCTCAGGCTCTCATCCACTCACTAGTCTTAGATCTTCTGTGCCTTTTACTACTATGGCATGTAACAAATTCCAGATGCCTTGACGGCCATATAAGAGGATTGGGAAGCATTGTCTTAAGCTCGTCTTTCTTGCTAACACCCATATGATATAAGATTCATCACGTGTAGGGCTTCTTCTAGGGGCATGGGACTAACTACCTCACAGGCTTCCTCATACCTGTCTGGGAATTTTAACCCTCCTTCTTACCTCTCCTTCTTGGAGTTTCTTCCACAGAGGAGAAAAATGAGGCACCTGCTGAGCTCAGTATCTTACCTTTATCTTTCTTTTTCTCCGGGTCATGAGAATCATGCTTTCATTTTCCTGGATATTATATCCTAATTTTTCCCACCCCTTAACATATAAAAGAAAATATCCATGATATATCTTATCATACTTGGCTCTTTAAAAATGAGAGAGAGAGAGAGAGAGAGAGAGAAAGAGAGATTTCACCCTGTCACCCAGGCTGGAGTGCAGTGGCTCAGTCATAGCTCACTGCACCCTCAAACTCCTCAAAGCAAGTGATCCTTCCACCTCAGCCTCCAAAAAATGCTGTGATTACAGGAATAAGCCACTGCACTTGGATCCTGATATGTTAATAGGAATTTAAAGAATTTTACTGCCTCCCATTCCCTAATGGCTCAGGCTTAGGGATGGAAGGCTGCAAAGAAATAGAAATTGAATAGAAAATGATGAAACCCCATCTCTACTAAAAACACAAAAATTAGCTGGGCATGGTAGCACATGCCTATAATCCCAGCTACTCAGGGGGCTGAGGCAGAAGAACCACGTGAACCCGGGAGGCGGAGGTTGCAGGGAGCCGGGATCGCGCCATTGCATTCAAAAGCAAGACTTAATCTCAAACAAACAAACAAAACAAAAATGCCTAGACCAACCATAAAAAATTAAATCAGAATATCAGATATTCAGCAACCAGATGCTGGGAGAGTTTAAGTGAATAATTGCTCAGTGTCACTTAGGAAATTAGTTCCACCCAACTGGGTGCCCTTCCTCCCTCCTGTGTTGCCAAGCTGACCACTGCGCTGAACCAGTTATTTCTATTCCTGAATAGATATGCAAACCAAACTCATAATTTATTTAATATTTGTAGGACAGTGTGTGTGTGTGTATGTGTAGTACATACATATTCTACAAAAGAAAAGGAAAAGATGTTTTCCTCATTTACTTTCTTATCCATTACAATATTCTGGTGGAGTTTTGTCCCAGTGGCTATGCTAGCAGGAGACAGCTTTTTAAGGAAAGTGCCGTGTGTCCTCATTACACAGTGAGCTGATGCCTGTTACTGCAGTGAACAGCTGGGTCTGCCAGTCACATCAGCTCTGCCTTCTTGCCCTTGCTTCCCAACCCATCCCAACTCCACAGAAGACTTTTCCACATTCACATTTTCTCTGGAGTCACTTCTAAAAACATCTAATGCTTTAATGTTCTTGCAATCTGTGGGAAGAAATAGAGAAATTGAACAGAGACATGCAACTTGATGTTTTTTACTAATACTAAAAATCCTTAAATCCTGCACCAAAAGTAAAGGAAACACAGTTCATGTGGCCTTTAACTTCTAATCACTTCCAAAGGATGTGTGATGTCTAAGCCCTTCCTAGATTTAAGCTGCTATTTTTTAATCTCCTGTCTTCTCTGTTTCTTGATTCATATTCCCTCCCTTCTTCTCTTCTTCCCCCCTCCTTCCCTCTCCTCATCCAAACATACAAGAGGGTGGCAGCTATTTGTTTCTGTACAACAGAACAATAAATCTGACAGGATGAGACTCCTGGGGTGGTCAGGAAGCTGACAGCAGGCTGCCTGTACTTCTCCAGCTCCCTATTCTAAAGGGGTTCACCTGCCCTTAAGGAAAAGGAAGGTCAGGAATTTATCAGAAGCAGCATGGCATCTGATTTACCTTTCTCCATGTTATTTTTCTTTCTCCATCTTCCACTGTAATCCCAACACTTTGACCGTGAACTCCATTGCATATACTGTCTATGGAAAACAAAGATTCCTAGTCACTGGGTTTCATAATCCCTGTAAGACAGTTCATTCTGGAAGCTGAGCTGGCTCAACTAAATGGCATTTTCGTTTTCCAACTGGAGAAAAGCAAGCCAGTCATCTAAAAGCAGCCTCACTTTTTTGTTTCTTTTGAGATGGAATTTCACTCTTGTTGCTGAGGCTGGAATGCAATGGTACAATCTTGGCTCACTGCAACCTCCACCTCCCGGGTTCAAGTGATTCTCCTGCCTCAGCCTCTCAAGTAGCTGGGATTACAGGCGCCCACCACCACACCTGGCTAATTTTTTGTATTTTTAGTAGAGATGGGGTTTCACTATGTTGGCCAGACTGGTCTCAAACTCCTGACCTCAGGTGATCCGCCCACCTCAGCCTCCCAAAGTGCTGGGATTACAGACGTGAGCCACCGTGCCTGGCCCAGCTTCACTTTGTATAAAGAGAGCACTCCGTAAGAGGCTGTCTGCAGATACCAGCAGGTGGTATTGGCCCATTTGTCTGGGGACACCCTCACTCTGTCCGTTGGGTTTGTTGCTATAAGTATTGACGCCACTGTCACATATGCAGCACAAGTATTTCTTTTTCTTGTTTCTCTGGGAGTTATTTGAGGATGGTGTCTGAAGGCTTTTAAGTGTCAAGAGTTAAGGGGTATTATTATGTCTTTCATGACTGGCTACTGGCTGTGGCCATCTAGAAAACACTGCCTTTGATTCGTATCATTGTAGCATTTGCTTGGGCTCTGGAGAGCAAGTCATTAATGCTTGTCCTGGCCAGAAATTTCACACCCAAAGATTCATTTGTCTCTCTGTTTTTCCATTTCCAGCCTGGATGTGTGAATACTACTGAAGTGGACATTAAGAAGTCATCCAGAATGAGAAACCCCCACAAAACACGGAAGGTAAGACGGACATTTGTTGTGCTGATCTTGGTGATGAATTGCCTTGTTTACAGGACGTCAGCCATAAAAACACTTTCTTCCCATGTTATGGAGTATATTCCCCACTCTTCCCGGCCTTCCACAGCCCTCCCCTCCTCAGAATAGCCCCATCCCGATTCTCAAGCACACCGGGGTCTGACCAAGCACAGGAGAGGGACAGGACGCGAAGGAGCCCTCTCCTCTCCCAGAGAAGGGTGTGTCCTTCAGAGCCCAGGAGAGGAGGAAAAGAAAATGGGATTTCCTTAGAAACTCCGACACTGATGTGAGAAGGGCATTTTAAAACCCGAGGAAAGCGGGGACATCTAAAAGATAATTACAGAAAGAGTGCGGGGCCCCCCTTAACATGGGGGTTTTGTGACACAGCCGTAAGACGGTGTTTGTAGTTCGGTGTTTGTTATCTGAGAGAGTATCTGTTGGTCGTGTGGGGGGAAGCGATCCCAAATTCAGTGACATTTTACATAACCCTTTAAAAATGCATGGCAGTAGTTTCTAAATATTTTTTAAAGTAATGCAGATAACTAGAAGGCATTGTCATCCATTCCATAAAGCACACTTGATGTACACAAGAATTTCTGGCCTGTAGCAGTCTGAGGACACAGCTCATAGATTGGCGCTGCTGGATTAATGCATTCCACAGACTTCAAGGTCTTCTTTTCTGTGGCTATTTCCTTAGTATTTCCTTACCATAATGTTTTCCAGAGTCTGTGTCCGTGCGGTAAGCACCCAACTTTTTTTTTTCTTCTAGTCTTATTTTGTGTGGCCTTTTTCTTCCATCCCTAGAAACCCAGCTTCGTGTTCAAAGGCCCCCAACTGGTCCGGGTACCTTTTCTTTCTTTTAAGGCAGTTTGCCTTGATGTTAGGATAAAGAAGCCACAGCAAAGCACCACAAAACCAATTCAGATGCGGTGCGCAAATGCTTCTGCTCCTCGGAACTATCTGAGCGAGGCAGAGCCGGACCGAAGCAAGCCTGCCTGGTCTGTCTCTCTTGCGGCTGGCCTCACTCAGTTGCTTTCATCCTTGCTGACAGCACATCCTGAGGGCACCAAGAACTATTTTTGCAGAACAAGATTCAAAAATGCTATCAGCTCTCCAAAAGGTGCATTAAGCCACCTCTGTCTGCTTTCTGAATAGTGAAGTTACTCTTCAAAATACTGAATTGGGTGTACTCTTCAAAATACTGAATTTCCCCCAACAGACACTAACTCAGACATGCTGTGATTCAGAAGAGAAAGCATATGGATTAACAAGATAGCACTTAGACACAATAAGGGCATCGTTTATACTCTCTTTTCAGCACCATATTCAGCATTGATCATCTTTCTCATGTTTCACCTGGCACCCTCCTTTTGAACATTTGAGAACGATTAGTTCACAATGCTGTTCTTCACATACCATCACCCCTCACTTAATGATGAAAAGCTTATGAGCCACTGCAAGGTGAAATATTGTAAAGAAACAGGATCGTTGAGATCTAACTCTCTTCATGTCGATAACGTCTCATTTCTTGTGAATCAATAACGATAGAACAACAGGGCCTCACCACAGAGTCTAGCACTAACATTTGCCAGAAGAAAACAAAAGTCTTGAAAAATCCGACAGCAGGTAGCAGGTATACCCTTACTTTCCACAGATGAAGAACACTGGTTTTCTCACCTTTCGATAAATATAACTTCTCACAGTCAGAAGTGTTCAATTTGCTAGAATCTTCGCAGACGATAATGTTATTTTACACGGAATGTTATAAGACTCCAAGCCACATACTGATGTGTTTTCTTCGAATTTAGCACTGATGCTTTAGCTTATAGTTGCTTAGGAACTGTAACGATCCATTCAATCAGCAAAATTAATTTTGCTACCCTATGCCAGATATGTCCTGGGCTTCGGGCGCTCCACAGTAAAAGGGACAGTCAGGGCCCTGCTCCCCAATCCATGGTCTCATGAGGGTGCCGATACAGAGCAAGGGGACAAATGTCTGAACATGTACATGGGTAGATGATTTTGTTAAGCTTTATGTAGTCTGCTGAGGCTGCCTTAACAAAATATCACAAACTAGATGGCTTAAGCAGTAGGAATGTATTATCTCATAGTAATGGAAACTACAAGTCCAATGTCAGGTTGGTGGCAAGTTCAGCTCCTGTGGAGTGTCTCTTCCTGGCTTGGGGTTGGCCGCCGCCTTCTTGCATACTCAATGGCTCTTCCTGCGTGTGCATAGAGACAGACAGAAAAACAAACAGAACTTCCACCCTGGTGTCTCCTCCTTTTCTTGAAAGGACACCAGTTTCCTTGTATTAGGCCCCACCCTGTAAACCCACTTAAACTTCCCTTCCTCTTTACAGGTCCCATCTGCAAATATAGCTACACTGGGGAATAGGGCTGCAACCTAAGAATTTGCGGGAGGAGACACAACTCAGCCCATGACATATCACAAAGAGAATTTAAGTGATTTGTGCTTGTAATTGCCAAGCGAATAACTTGACAACAATCAGCAAGCTGTTCCACCCCACCTCTGAAGGGTCCACAGCTCTGTGTCTGCAGAGCGGGCCACACTGTGGGATGACAAACCATAGACAGAAATGGCAGAGACCAGCCGGTGGCCTCTGGAAGCCGCCCTTCCCTCCGCCATAACTGGGCTGTCTCCGCAGCGCCTCTTTGCAGCTGTGTGGTCAGCCTCAGTCTTTGTACTGTGGCTGCTCAGGAAGTGGAACCCATGGACCATGCTTAATCTTTGAAAACAGATACTTCTCTTAGCCAGGAGAGCTGCTGTTCATTTCTTTGGGAGTGAGCTATAATAATATTTCCTGTGATTACACGTCATAGCAAGAGTAAAGGACCCAGTAAATCCCTAATGTAATAACCTAGCATAGGTGCCTAAAGACTATAAGAGTCATTTCACATTTCATTTGGGCATGTTGTATTTAATTGTTGAATTTTAGACATGTTTATCAAACATAGGAAGCAAAGGCTTGGCTGTATGGATGATACGAGATATTTTAAGAATCCAAAATTAGTCAGTCTTCAAGTCTTTATTTTTAACTTGAATATAGTTTACCACAATACAGGGAAATAGGTAACTACCTCCAGAATCTATGAAAGAATGATAGTGTAACATAGCCAGAAAGAAATCAGCCTCATCTAGATAAGTTTGCCTGATGTTATTCAATCTGATACTAAAATTTTTACTGGAATAGATTCTGTATTAGCCAGAGTTCTCCAGAGAAACCAAACCACAGACAGAGCATGGGGGGTGGGTAAGAGAGAGAGACAGAGACAGAGACTTATAGTAAGGCATTGGCTCACAGGATTCTTGAGGCTTGGTGAGTTCAAAGCCTGATGGCGGAGGCCAACAGGCTGGAGACCTAGGGAAGAGTTGCAGTTCAAATCCAAAGGCAGTCTGGGGAAACACAGCTCTTGAGTCGCCGGAAGCTTTTATTGGGTTGATGGCGTCAGGGACCCACAGCAGCGTGTCATCTTGTCGCCTGGCCCCTAGTGCACCCCCGCTTACTGCCGTGCCCCTGCACCCCCTCACTGGTCTGGGAGTCCTGGCACCACGTGGATGGCGTCTCCGCAGAACGTGCGGGCCTGGCCACGGCCCATGCCCCCAGCGGGCTGGACTTAGGAGGCATCTCTCTGCTCCTGCCAGGCCCAAGTGGTGCGAGGCTTCGGCCGTGGCTCCAGGCAGCTGGGCATCCTCGCAGCTAATTTTCCTGAATGAGTAGTAGGTAATCTTCCAGCTGATGTCTCCACTGGCATTTGTTATGGTTGGGCCAGTGCTGGAAGTGATGTCCATTAGATGGTGGTGAGCATCGGATGGAACCCATACCACAAGAATAGGAAGTCCATGGAAACGCTTGTCCTGCATACCTTCAGGAAGACTTCTGTGGGGAAGTCTCAATGTGGCCCTTGTTGGCTACCTCAGACCAGAAAAGAACTTTGATTCTTCAGAGTCGCTTATTTCAGCAAACTCAAGGCGACATTGAGGAAGCTAAGAAACTACTAGATTTACCAGAACATTTGAAACTCAAGACAAATTCTTCCAGGTTTCCAAAAGCAAAATAATGAATAGCCCCTGATGAAAAATCCTGTCATTTATGTATTCACTGTTTTCTACCATTTCATTGTTTATTACTGTCCAGCCTCATCCTGGTTATATTTTAAAACTCAAACATTTTCCTGCAGCTGTGAATTAAATAGTACAATGTAGTTCACATATCATGCTTCAGCAAGGCACAGTGGCTCATACCTGTAATCCCAGCACTTGGGGAGGCTGGGGCGGGCAGATCACCTGAGGTTGGGAGTTTGAGACCAGCCTGACCAACATGGAGAAACCCCATCTCTACTAAAAATATAAAAATATCTGGGTGTGGTGGTGCATGCCTGTAATCCCAGCTACGTGGGAAGCTGAGGCAGGAGAATCGCTTGAACCTGGAAGGCAGAGGTTGTGGTGAATGGAGATTGTGCCATCGCACTCCAGCCTGGGCAAAAAGAGTGAAACGCCGTCTCAAAAAAAGTACATATCACGCTTCAACTGGTAAATTAAGGCCATTGTATCATAGCTCTAAAAAGATTCATTTAAAAATCAGTATTTTAAATATATATATTGATTAAAATGTACCACTGGAAAGGTATTACATGTCTTATAATGGAAGTGCAATGTATATAAGCATGGATAAAAAGACAAATCACTAGTTTGAGATGAAAACTAAAATGTTCGTGGTAAAATACCAGCACGTATGTACTTGTATAGTTTGGCCTTCTAAACAGAGGAGGCTTATAAAAGTAAATGCATTCAATAGAAGTTTAGTAGCTTATCATAAACCTCAGGGAAGAAACCTAGACTTTGTATTTTTGATACTTTGTGCTTTAATATGTTATTAGAAACATGAAGATATTTGTGAAACTTTGTTTTAGTCATTTTCTTTGAAGTCACATCATTGTACCATCTTCATTTTTGTATGGCGCTG